TTGTAGAGATCGACTTCGGGGATGATGTCGAGCTCGATTTCTTGGCCATTGATTTTCCTTTTGAGATAATAATTCACCAGTTCTTCATCTGTGGGGTGAAACCTAAAACCAGGAGGTAATCCCACGGGTGCCATTTTTATCTCTGCAAATATCCTTATCATTAATACGATTACCTTGTTATATAAAAGAATTCTAACACACAACTCTCTCTTTTTTTTCCTTTAATAGATTCTTGGACAAACGTTTGTTGGAAGGTGTTCCAAATATCTTTATTATATTCTCCCGATTCCATTAATCATGAGGCAAATAATCCTCTAATAAGGGCATTGTTTAAAAAACATTTGCCACAAGGTCTTCCATTTGACGTTTAAAGGGTTGAGTCCCTATCAAACTCAATGATTAAGGGATTGATGTTATCTCTTGAAGTTTCAATTTTGAGCATCACGTATGTAGGGGTACAAGCATTCATTATCAAATGGCTGAGAGTCTTTAAACAAATATTACTTAATATTTATCTTGAAATTAAAAAAATGTTGTTTTTCTTTTTTGGTCGCAAAAAAAAATCGATATGGATGATAAGGGCAAGATGTATGATTTTATGTTAGGGGTGAACTTTAACTTTTAAAATTTTAAGGGGTAAACTTAAACTCATAAAATTTTAGGAGGGCGAAAATAGATTTTCAATAGAAAATACATACAAAAATTTAAAACATATAATAATTTTAAGGGTAAAGTATAGTAATGGTCACTGAACTTTTCTAAAGCTTTCATTTAGGTCCCCAACTTTTAAAACTTGCAATACAGTCCTCCAACATTTAGTCCGTTTGTAAAATGGTCCCCCCAACATTTAGTCTGTTTGTAATATGGTCCCCGACCATTTGACGTTGTTACACTGCCGTTATACGTTTGCAATATGGTCACTGAAATTTTCATGCACTTGCATTTAGGTCCCCCAACTTTTAAAACTTGCAACACAGTCCTAAATTTCATTCTAAACCCCAAATTCCTTTTCGATCTCAAATTTCCTTTTTCACTTCTCTCTTCTCATTTCCAGCATAACTTTTTAGTCGAGGATGCATGGGAAATTCTAGTCTGACTTTGAATTATGTGGAGGTGTTGACTTGAATAAGGGTCCATTGAGAAAAGACCCGACCAAGGGACTATCGGGACTATCAACGATTCAAGGTGTAATGTTAGACACATGTCATCTCAGGTGAAGCATAGATGTTCGATGAAATGCTTGTGAGAAAAAAATGGGGTTAGAAATGCAGAGTTCACAAATACTACTAAGATGAACTAAGTATCATTGTTGTAAGTCACCAACAAAGCTGGAATTATTTTGTATAAATGACATATAATAATTTCTTCGTTTAATCTTGTACTTAAAGATTTTCCAACATATGATCAAATATAATGAAATCTCAAATAGTGCATTCACCTCTCGTTTGGTTTTTGTTCTTTAATTTTCCACCATGTAAAATTGTAAACCCAAGCAGTGCTCTGTCTTTTGGCTTTTTATTTACAAAGAAAAAAATGGAGGAATAATTGCTTGAACGCAACACCGATTGCGTTTATTTCTTTGCCTCTCCCCTCACTTGCAAGAAGGTATTTATTTTCTCTTTTGGACTATCCGGAAGTAAGCTTTTACTCTTTCGCACTTTCCCATTTTCAGCTCGCATTGTGTGTTTTTTGATGAAATTTTTATGTTTTTGGAACTGCATGTCAATGATATGGATATTCAGTGTTAGTTTTGAACCAAAACCATCTAATTTTCTTTCTTTCTTCTTAATAAAAACTTTTAGTACTTCTTATGAAAGATATTCAGTCCATCAGAATATAAGTGAAATAGGGTCCTTGGCTAAATTTTTTTTATCTTCTTGTTTGGTTTTTCTTTAAATCAGAGAATTGGTTGTGAGTATCGACATAGTGAAATCGCCAGGCTCAATCCGAGAGACTGCTGGTACTAGTTTACTGGGAATTGTATTGATCCGACCTGTGGTTTTCGGCTTCCTGTGAGCTCGTATTCTTTTTTAATAAGTTCATGTTGATTATGTGACTGATATATCGTGAAAGAGTTAATTTTTTTTACATGTTTTGGAAATTTTACAGTTGAATTGTATTGAATTATAGCTTTAGAAGACAATTCTTCATGCACGCAACTCGAAAGGCATCATGACAACGTAGTATATTTAGAGCAGCTACTTGACCCTGTCATGATGCCTTTCGTGTTGCGAAAGAGACTGAGAGGTGAATGTGCTGTTTGGGATTTCATTATATTTGATCATCTGTTGGAAAATCTTTAAGCACAATGATTAAACGAAGAAATTATTATATGTCATTTATACAAAATAATTTCAGCTTTGTTAGTGACTTTCAACAATGATACTTACTTCATCTTATTAGTATTTGTCAACTCTGCATTTCTAACCTCATTTTTTTTCTCACAAGCATTTCATCGAACATCCATGCTTCACCAGAGATGACATGTATCTAACATTACACCTTGAATCGTTGATGGTCTCGATAGTCCCTTGGTCGGGTATTCTCTCAATAGACCCTTATTCAAGTCAACACCTCTACATAATTCAAAGTTAGATTAGAATTTCCCATGCATCCCCGACTGAAAAGTTACGCTGTAAATGAGAAGAGAGAAGCGAAAAAGGAAATTCGAGATCGAAAATGAATTTGGGGTTTAGAATGAAATTTAGGACTATGTTACAAGTTTTAAAAGTTAGGGGACCTAAATGCAAGTGCCTGAAAAGTTCAGTGACCATATTGCAAACGTACTAACGGCAGTGTAACAGCATCAAACGGTCGGGGACCATATTGCAAACGGACTTAATGTTGGGGGACTGTATTATAAGTTTTAAAAGTTAGGGGACCTAAATGACAACTTTAGAAAAGTTTAGTGACCATTACTATACTTTATCCTAATTTTAAAATTTTAGGGGAACGTCTGCCCCACCCGCCTCTCTGAAGGCGATGATCAATGAAAAATAAGATCGTAATGTCTAGAGAAGCTATTGTAAAAAACCTCTTATGTCCTTAATTTCGAAATTAGTCAAATTGGTCCCTCTTAAAAGGGGAGGAATAATTTAATCCCTATTGATCTCCAAAGTGAACAACTAAGAACAATTAATAACGATGTAAACGGTTTCAGTGATTTTACATAACAATAAATTTGGCCATCATTGTTTACACATGATATCAATGTGATTTTTTTATTAAAGTTAAGTGATTACAAAGTAGTATATGTTCTAAATATTCTCAATCATTTGATAATGAACGTTTTATCATCCTACTGCAGTCACTAGTGCTCGAAGCCATGACTTCTAGGACCAACAACGATTCCTTTAATCATTGAGGTAAGTTGATTCGTGAATATCAATGTGAATTTGATTGTTAGAATTTTATAAGTGAAAAATAAAGATAAAGTGAGATCAACCTAAAATAAAATATGTGTAAGGGATGAGATTTAACGTTGTTTGATCATGCATGCATCCTCGAATGAGAAAACACAAATCTTACTATAAAGTTAGATATCACAAAGAATACAAATACATGAAATTGTGTATATTTCGTAACTCGTTATACATCTATTAAAATCTAGTGTATCACATAACATTATCAATATGTAACAAAAATCATAAAAGTTATTTAGATCATGAAAATAATTATATTTCACTAAAATAATTTTCTCTCATAATTTTAAAGATTAAAGCATATTTTTTTATTTATAGAAGAAATAAACTTGGTCACCAAAATTTCTTATCTCATAAGAAGTTTTTATCTAAATACACTAAGTTAACAAATAAGTTTTAACCAGATTATAATAAAATCCAACATAATTATCAACTGGAATTTGAGATAATATGTAACAATCTTTCCCCTGATACAAATTCAATCATAGAATTGATTTTCAAGTCTTCAACGATTTCTATTCTTACGTAAGCCAAATGTTTGTTGCAACATTGCTATCATGTCTTCAATAATTTCAATTCTTACGTTATATCTCTTGAAACACCGTTGGATAAATGAAATTATCTCATCAAACTAAAAAATCATTGTAAATAAACTTCTCTTGTATGTTTCTAAAATCACTAACAAAATATATTGCAACAAACTCCTTCAAAATTTCAAAACTCGAATCATAGCTTTGATACTACTTGTTAAGAATTTACAAACAGAAAACAAAATAAAACAATATCAATATAAAATAAAACACTCACAAAAGATAAGATTTAACGTGGTTTAATCATGTCTAACTCTGAAGACAAGAGAACACAAATTCACTACAAAATGTAGAGATCACAAGGAGTAAAAATATATGAAAATCCTTGTATCACAAACTCGATATATATCTCAAATTATGATGTATCACAAAATATTCTCTCACGATTTTATCAAAGTATGTTGGAAATATAATGGCAATACTATAATTAAGTTGTTAGCATTGATTGGAAATTTAGATGATACAAATATGATAAAATTTGAATGTGTCGTAAAAGAATCACTATCTTAGAAGTAAAATTGTTCGGATTGGTGTAGTCCTCGAAATGAATAACTATGAAATAAATCTCTATAACAATCAGATCAATTATTGTGAAATTATAGTGACAATCCAGATAACAGCTGAAAATCAATAATCCTCTAATTTCAGTAACAAACATTAAAATATTCACACCAAAAATAATTAATAAATATCATAAAAGATCTCCATTCTGAGTTTGTAATAAGCCAGTTCTTTGTCTTCAATAAAGGGCGACTATTTTTCATTCTACTTCAACTTGGATTTATTCCAATACAAGGTATACAATCCGTATGCTGTTTTGAAAACTTAATGATATGTCGATGGGATTGATTGTAAACAATTGTATGAATATGCAAACATTTTGTTCAAGGATTGGCCTGTGGTTTCATACATAGCAGAGGTCAACTTTCCTCCATGAAGACGGTCGGAGCAGACAATATCTTGTATCAGACGTAGTTCAACAATCCTTGCGTCAACAACACTCCTAATTGTTTCGGAGCAGGGCTCGGGTTTGCCTCCAAAGCCGTTGTGCCTCTGATTCATCATCGGCTAAGGCTGAGCAGTTGCTTTCATTGCAGTCTGCAAAGTATTTCCCATTCATCCCTTGTGCATGTGGGCTCAGTGCTACATAGCAGGTAGTGGATGCACCCTGCATTAATCCACAATTCCCAAACTGCAACATAAACACTACTGCTTCCACCATCCCCCTTTTGTTTTACATTTATATATACGATGCAACTATGTCGTTTAAATCGAAATTGATTATATGAATCTATCGATCATGAAACAGACCGTTGGATGTCAAAGACGACACACCTGAGATGTAGACTTGAGCAACTTGGACGCAATAAAGAAAAGAGAATCTGCATATACAGAGAGATTAGGAGAAAAAGGTCAGCTCTTAAACATTTTTTTAAGTAGTCTGAGGTGATTACAAAGTAGTACCTATCCTATTCATATTCATAGAGATTCTTGCCTGTAATAAAGCCCTTGTGTGCTCTGATAATTCCGGTTTTTACGATTCCTGGGTGTACTGCATTCATGGTTACATTTGCATTTCTCGCCTGCAAATTTGAACATTGTTGTTTACAAACTGATAAGATGATAGACACTTTCAAGTAGTAGAGCGGTCACCTTTAGCTGTCTGGCTATTTCTTTGGCATGCAATATGTTTGCTACTTTGGATTGAGCATAAGCACGTGTGCCATTATAGCTACATCAACAATACACCGGAACAGAACCAGGAATTTTAATTCAAGGGAGACGAAGTATAATTAACAATGCAAAATGAGAGAACAAAATTAAAATAAATCAAAATTTAAAGGTCTAAATAGGTAATTTTCCCTATATACTTTAATGATAAAAAAATTTGGGGCAGTGCCCCAAGCTCCTACGTAGCTCAGCCATTGAGCAACAGTTTATATATATATATATATATGAGGGACCCAATTATACTTCATAAAACTCTTTTTATTTTAGGATTGTTAGATCGAGGGAAATTAAATGTTGAGATTAACTCCTTGTCTTCTTTTTAGAGAATATATTCTCATTTTCTACTGTTAGCCTCAACTTTTAATTTCTCTCGTCTAACGTTTAGGTGTAATATTAAAAGAGATTTACTCAATGAAGTATTAAATAAAGTTGAATTGAGACATGTTTGAACGGTTACAGGGAAAGGAATCAAAGTACTTGTTAGGGTTGAGCATTTGGTTGAAGGTGAAAGAGTCTCTTTTAACCCAGCTGTGAATCACAGAAGAAAGGTTTATGATTCTTCCTTGGATCCCTGTCTGCTCTGCTGTTTCTATCATCTTCTCTATCAACATTTCTGTCAATAAAAAATGCCCTGCCAAAAACAAATATCGAGTATAAGTAAGTAGGGATGTTCATTGTTCGATTTTAATTAAATCAACCAACAAATTTAAAATTTAATTTGATTAATTAGATTTTAGATCGGTTAACATAATTTTTTAAAATTCAGTTATTAGTTAGTTCTGTTCGATATCAGATAATTAACCAAAAATATTGAATGTTGAATATATATTATATGTATAGTTTAAACTCAAATTTATTAAGAATTAACTAAACTCATTGAGCTTTTAAGATCCAATCAAATTTTAACTCAAACGAGAAAAATACCTCCATTAAACTTAAATTAATCTAACTAAAAAAATTAATTGAATTGATTAAACTTTGTTCGATTCAGATAATAATTTTAAAAGATATTCAATTCGATTAATGGTTAAAGAGAAATCAATTAATTTGATTAATTTGATTCAGTTGGTGACCGAATTAATATAGAAAAAAAAAGATAGTTTACCCAGGTAATTAGTTGCAAATGTCATCTCAATTTTGTCCTCAGAAAACTCCAGATTCTGAGAGAATATCCCAGCATTGTTTCTACAAAAAAATAGCTTTAAACGACTTAACATTTCATCAACTGTACTGATTTTCTGTTATCAGAAAGAAAAAAAAAAGAAACGAAAATTTGGTGACGATGAACGTACATGAGGATGTTAAGGGGAAGCCCCAGAGCTAGGAACTGTGTGCAGAATCTCTTTACAGAAGCCAAAGAACTGAGATCAATCTCCAACACGATAATCTCAGCATTCGGATTAATATCCCTCCGAATTCCCTCCTTCAATTCGGCTGCCTTCTTCCGATCCCTCGCGGCAATCACGACTCTCACTCCTCTCTTCGCCATCACTCGAGCCGTCTCGGCTCCGATGCCCGACGTCGCCCCTAAGAAATAACAACACTCCGAGAATTCAAAAACATGTTCTCATGTGTGCATGCGATATGAAGAGTTCAAAATCACTAACCGGTGATTATAGCGGTTAAACGGCGAGTGTCGATCGAGTAAGAACAACTCTCGGTGACCTGTTCGGCCGTCGATTTCGAGCCGTGGCCACTGGGGCCGGCAACGCTTGCTAGGTATCTCAGTGTTCCCTTCATGAATGAAGGTGTCAAGCTCACAATCTCAAACCACCAAAGAAGCACAATAGGTACTATCAAGATATATATAGTATACATATATTAGTTTGTACTTGGTAGAGAGAAGAGCCTTTGAGAAGTTTGATTTCCTACTTCACCCACTACACTAACTTTGTACTCTCAACAATTAAGCAACGTTGATATGTGAACGTTTCCTTGGTCCTTTCTATATTTCTCTCTCTGCCCTTTCATGGGTGGCTTCCATTGTAGATGATGGCCTTTTTTTTCTATATAGTCACAGTTCTCTTCATCGTTTTTATGATCTCCTAAGGTAGTATATATTCAAGATTTTTCTCAGTTATTGATAAAGCACGTACATCGTACAATATAATTGTTCGAACCCAATACCTAAAAAAAGAACAACAATTTATTTAACCATAGAGATTGCACTATGGTTTAATAATTCTACCATTTAAAATTGGTTCAAATGTACCGGAGATTATGACATTTTAACATATGATTATTGACTTTTTAGGTTTAGAAAGCCTAGCGATGTCATAACAATGTCATTTATTTGTTGTATATCAACTTGTAAATCATGAGAATAATATCAGTAAGATTAATTATCAAAATAATATTTTAAAAAATGACATTGTTTCGATTATGTAGGATAAAAACACATTCAGCTCGTCATATCTGATCGAATTTAATGATTTGCTTTGGTAAGACAGGACCAATTGAACGCACTTTTTCTTACATTATCGAAAAGAAAATCATTTTTTAAAATAAATTTTTTAATGCTATTATGATTGTTAATTTTTAAGTAGATATTATTCTCATAAATTAGCTAGTAAATGAAGTTGTTGAACAGCTTGTAAATCAAATATATATATATATATATATATTTGATTGTACTCTAGTTCCAAGGCTTCGTCTTGACTAATTTGGACCGACTTGTGTCGCACACTTGATTTTGATAGGTGAGTTTCCCAACGGAGATTTTTTGGATACATAATGACTTGAACCTGAGACATTGCTTAATTGATGTCAAGCTGCTTACCACTTGAACCAGCCTCGTTGGTGTTAATTATTTATATTTGCTCGTTCATTTCTTAGTTGGGTATATATAAGACAAGACTAAAATCTAGATTAAGTGAGGATATCATGGATTTTGGAGAAACTGAAGCATATTTTATTCTTCAAATACGATTCACTAACGAAACACAATCTACTTTGTGATTAGCATATTGAATTTAATAATTAATGGGACAAAAACCTTAACTAATCTTGGCTAAAGATTATATTCCCTTAAACTCATGTTTTTCACTAAGAACAAAATAGGGGATAATATATACTATACTTTAATAGTTTGGTATAATTATAAAATAATATTTATTTATAATCTTTTTGAATTATTGACGAGCACACATATACCTTATAAATACGATTGTTTGAACACGACTTTAAAAAAGAATAACTCTCTTTATTCACTGAGATCACGTTGAAATATTGAAGCTAAATCCAACAAGTTTGGTTTTGCATGCTCACATGTGCACACAAAATACATATTCAATCCAAGTAATAATTTTGGGACAGGATTACTCATGTATTCAACGTTTTACTACTACTACCGACAAACAAATTTGAGACAAAAGTGGTGGCTTTATTTTTGGTTTCTCCCGTGTTGCCTTTTGGTCTCCAATAGGCAAAAGTCTTATCTTTCAGTCGGAGAAATGATGTTGAATGTTGGGGAGTTGAGGTAGTAAAAGAGAGCAATGAAGTTGACTCCTCAACCAAGTTTTATTACAAAGACAAATGGGTAATATTAGTGACGAATCTAGAAATATTTATGAGCATAAACAAATGGAATAAGGTTATCACAATTAAAATTTTAGGGTAGACACAACCAATAACCTAGATAATTAATTCAAGAAAATTTAAATTTCAAGGTGAGCATATGATTGACCTGGTTAGAGATGAGCACGAGACTCGAACTCAACGGGTTTCAACTCGACCCTATTGGGTCATTTTTTTTATAAAAAAATCAATGTCGGGTCAAGTTTTTTAGAAGATATGTTCTGGTTGTGTTCGGGGGAGAATGTATATTTTTTGGGTTGTGTCGGGTTAGACATAAACTCGACCTAACCTAACCCGACCCATGCCCATCCCTAGATCCACCATTGGGTCCCATTGGTTTCCCCATCTGCAGACACCACCCATTAGTGTTCCTCGTTGCTTCACACACATGCCATTGCCCAAAACAGTGTTGAATAGGAGAAAGGGACTAGGCAAAAAGTAAAGTGCGTTTGATTAATGTCCCGCCATGGTCGAACTTGAACATGCTCTGTTTCGATTCTTAGTAGTTGTCCGGAAAGACAGGGAAACCAAAACCAAATTAAACACAAAAAGAGGGTCATCGATCGATCCTGTTTAACTGCTGCGGATTCTATAACGCGACGCTTATTACTTAAGGAAGTTTTAAAGAGTATATATAATTGGATTGGGTTGATTTGACTTGTTTGGTATATATATAGTTGCAGAAACGAGCAACGTCTCTTGTCTAGTCTTTGATGATGTATGGATGTATCCATATTAATTCCTTCGGACAAAATGAGCTCCTCACGTCCATGTCCTGTCGTCTTCATGGTTTGTTTTTGTCTGGCAAGGAGAAAGATGCGCACATGCACGCCTTTTATGAACCAAATATTCAAGAGATAAATTTGAGATAACATCTGACTATACATGGTACTAGTGCATGAGAATGATTATGGATCCTATATACATGGTACTAGTGCATGAGAATGATTATGGATCCTACAAACACAATGTAAATAGACGGATAAGATTAATTCCTCGTTTTTTTAGTAAAATCTTTGTATTCATATTGTAAATTTCAATCATATACTTTTAATTATCTAACTGTCATAAATTTGTGTAAAATTAATAAATGTATACTTTCAATTAGCTTTAGGTCCTATCTAAAAAGCTAGTGTGACAGCACTGTCTCCCTTCACAACAAAGTATTCCAACCTGAATTGATGAAGTCGACAAAGCCAACAGGAAAAAGAAGTCCAGCATAGGAGGCGAACCCTAAAATGGCCACTGGAATTCCCATATACCCAATCATTATAATATTCACGAGAGTTTGCTTCAAAAGGGCTTAATATTGAATCATTTTGCATGAGTGTTATAAGCCCACACCCCACGTGCTATCACCCATTTTAGCTGGCTGTTCCACCGCACGAGCCAATCACGGCCAAAGGCCGGTGAGTGGGACTCGACCGAGCCCTTGTCTTCCTCGTTCTAATCATTCCTCTTACCAATGAACAATTGGGTAAACTACAAGTTTAGTATCTAAACTATTTTTTTTCTATTTTGGTACCTAAACTTTATTTAAAAAAATACTTAACATTTAATTTAGTTTTATTTTGGTACTCATCGTTAAAAATTAATAGATCTGCTGATGTGATATTTTTTTTATTTTTTCAATGTTGGTGTGGCAACACCTTATGGTGGGACGTCAACATCACTATTAAGTTTTTAATGACATGATACCAAAATGAAACCTAAATTAAACTTTACGTATGATTTAAAAAAATTGAATACTAAAATAGAATAAAATTAATAATTTAATTACTAAACATAAACTTATAGTTTGCCCTAAAGAATTTAGCTCTAAATTTTTACCATGATAATATCCATGTAGGAAGATTTGGAGAAAAGGTTGCTTGTCGTTTTCTTCATGCAAAAAAGAAATCAAACCGAAAAGAAGCAACTTTTTTCACAACAAGTTTAACAATAATAATCAAATATAGATTAGCTTTGAGCATTATAGATTAATCAAGGACTAGGGAAGTTGATTAATATCATATGGACACATACCTCCCCATTACCGACATTAATGTTAAGAACTTAGTGATTAGGTGAATTACTTTTGGGAGGACAAGTTGACAACATAAGTGAAAAATTCAAAGGCAGTGTAATGTGCTTGCCATTAACCTTAGTGGTTATTATTTATATGCTATTTTCCTATAGTCTCTCTACATAGGACAAAGCTCAAAGGCAACAAAAGTGATGGGTTGCATAATACGATGAAATCTTGTTTGATTCTTAACGTTTGCTTCAGATTTTGGCTTCTCAAGAGGTTTTCACAATCATGTGTAACAGGGATTTAAATAGCAGTCTGCGACTGTGATAGTGCTCAAGATATAGCGGTAGTGATCCCCTCCGCGACTGTTATTATATGACTGTGATGCTCGCAAACCCCACAATAGTGCCTAGGCCTGTAAATGAACTGAACGTTCAACGAACCGTTCATGAACCGTGCGGCGGGAAGTTCTTTTATGTGCGTTTATTTATTAAATAAACGAGCATGAACAAGATTTTGTGTTCGTTTAATTAAATGAACGAACATGAACATAGGTCTCGTTCGTTCATTTACGTTCGTGAACGTTCGGTTATGTTCGTTCGGTTATGTTCGTTTATGTTCATTCATTTATGTTTAACCCAATCTTCTTAAATCAATTTTGGTGACCAATTTGTAAGTATCTTAAAAATATTAATTAATTTGATATTCTGATGACCAACTTCATAATTAACCCAATTTTATTTGGAAAACCCAACAATATTAACATGGATTAGTTCTTTTTGAACGATCCATAAGTTGCATACCCAACACCGTCAACATCCACTGCGCCGGAACTCTATGTGACTGCACCACCAGCTGGTTATCCGATGAGCAAAGAGGAGTCTCAATTTTCAACTTCTACATAGCACGAAGTTAAGGACATGTTTGTTTGATCCCTAAGGATTAAGGTCTGCAATCACATGAAACACAATATATGTTCATCTCGACTGTTGTTGAAGGAGAGAGGAAGAAAGAAAGTGGAGGAACGTTATGCAATCCCACATCAGTAGTAAACAAGCAGCTCGGGGTTGGTAACTTATATAAAAGAAGATGGGGAAGAATAGGTTTAAGCATCTTTGCGCTTGGGGCAATGTCGAGCTCAGAATCGAGCTTGAATCGAGCATGAATCGAGCTTGAATTGAGCTTAGAATCGAGCTTCAATCGAGCTCGAGTCTCGAGTTTTAATCGAGCTCTTAAATTTTTTTTGAGTTCGAGTCGAATTTCTATATTATATTTCGAGTTCGAGTCGAACTTGATAATTTTAAGCTTGCGAGTTTTCGAGTCGAGCTGACTTTGAAAGTTTTTTCGAGTTCAAGTCGAGCTCAGCA